CCTGTTACTCCTCGTGAAGGAGAATAGACTGCTCACCAGCATTCTCCGTCCAACCCTGTCCCAAGAAATCCTTTCCAGCTCCTATTCATCCTTTTCATATCTACTTCTATTATCCGACGCAATGTGTTCTTTGGCCTTCCTCTTTTCCGATTCCCTTCAGGAGTTCAAGTTAGGGCTTGCCTCATGGTTCAGTTTGATGATTTGCGTAATGTATGTCCTATCCATTTCCATCGTCTTTTCCTAATTTCCAATTCAGCTAGAAGTTGGTTTGTTCTCTTCCACAGTAGGTTGTTGCTCATGGTATCCGGTTAATGGATGTTGAGTATCTTGCGTAGACAACCACTTATAAATACTTGTACCTTCTTGATGGTGGTTGTAATAGTTCTCCCAGTTTCAGCTCCGTATATTAAAACTGCCTTGATGTTGGTATTGAAGATCGTGACTTTGATAGTAAATGACAGTTGTTTTGACTTCCATATATTCTTCAATTGTAGGAATGTGGCCCTTGCATTGCCAATGTTTCACTTGAAGTAAAATGTTTATCTATACAGTTTCACAATGAATAAGTTATTTTAGATTATGACGAAGTGAACATCAATTTTCATCTCAAGTCATTAGGATAAGATGCTAAAAATTGACTACCATGGAAAATCTGGAAGTACTGGATGACCGTTTCATCCTATTGTATGACCCTTCAGCAATGTGCATCTATGATCCTGCCTCACGAGATTCGAACCCAGGACCTATCGGTTTCGCACGTGAAATCACCATCCACTGCTTCCACGTTTTTCATGATAATCTAGTTTTAATTAACTCATGAATTCAACTAGCAAACAATTATTTTTGAAATGTGAACATAATTTTGATTGCGTAGGTAGTCGTGTTGTCTAAATTGGATGGAAAAATCATACACAACACATAGGACCAAATAATTCAAAACAATAGGAGATACAACCAAAAATAAAGAAGTAAACAATAATAAGGTTAAGGTCAACAAGAACCAATCAACATTGAGGTCAACAGGACAAGTGATGAATCGTATATGGAGAAATTTGAACACTTCACTTCTAAGTAGTCTATTGTTAAATGTCAAGCTGTTCAACATAAATATAATATGACCTCCACTATAAGTTGTTTTTTTTTTCTAATCAATAAATCCATGTGTACAATTTCATGACCAATATTTTATTGTTCTACATAATTGGTGTTGTTTCTAATTTATCACTGAGCAAACAGCTAATGCATGAGATGGTGGAGAAGATTAGTAGCTCAGGTGGATGATTTTGATGGAGTTTTGTTCTCTGAGTTGAATAGTTTGGTCGTGGAGCTATCATCGTTCTTTTGAACGACATTATCAGCACAAACTTCAGATAGAAGTGAAGTGTTCGAATTTCTCCATATGTGTTTCACAGTTGTTCAGTGTACCTCGATGTTGATTGATTCTTATTGACCTTAAATTTGTCATTGTTTACTTCTTTGTTTTGGTTGTGTCTCCCATTGGTTTGATTTTTGTTCCTATATTTGTGCATAATTTTCCTGATTGGTTGATAAATTGGATCGATTTCAATATGTTTGTTGATTGCTGATTGACCTGAGTGCCAGGCTTGCCAAAAATTCCCTGGTGTTTTGGGAATTTCCTCTGTCCAAGATTTCCACATTTTTCCAATCGAATGAGTGTCCGCAGTTGTCCACGTGTATTGATATAAGTGAGGAAGTGTCATGGCGTTTGACTGCTAATTGATGTTCATGTAGGCGAAGGTGAAGGGGGAGTCCACTTTGTCCGATGTAGTGTTTGTCGCAGTTGGTACAATTTATTTTGTAGATGATGTTTGATTTGTTTTCCTTTGTTATTTGATCCTTTGGTTTGCATAGGATTGATTGTAGTGATTTTGTCGGTTTGTGTGCCACACCTATCCCGAAGGTTTTCAGCAGTCTCGTTGCGGTTTCTGATATCCCTTTTATGTGTGGTAGGGTGATCCTTTTGTTGATTTTTGTGGTTGACGTAGGTTCTGATGCTGCATATTTTCTAAATATGGAGAATGGTGGAGATAATAGAGAACAAGGAGATACTATAGTTTATGGACGAACCAATCATGTATAAGATAACAGGTGTCGGATTATGGCGCGAAATTCATTCATTCATTTAGCTAAATAGAATTTTGGCATTTCAGTTGATCTCAGTTCGTGATTAAAACCATTAAATTTGATTCCTAACCCTAATTATCAACTGTAAATCATAATTCCAATTCCTCATACTGCTTTACAACCGTCACTTGCTCCTAGTTATTAGGTAGACACTATCAAGGTCACTCTAACATCGCTCAAAGGTCGACCACCGACAACAGAATAAACTTTCATTTGAAAAGTTATGTTTACACTTTAGTTTCTCAGCTTCCTCTCACCCAGTACATTCAATTATTCACTGTGGATAGTTTTTCACTTTCAATATAATTTCTCTGATTAGAAGAATGTTTTGCTGTAATGACTTGATTGTATTTTGTTTTACGAACATTGTTGGCAAAGGCAAGAAGCACTAAATAGATATATCATCTCAGTTCGCGACTGCACATCAAGGTACATCCTCGCTGGTATAGGAAAAACTAAACCTCACAGAGTAATATTGATGGTAGTGGTTACCTTTATTTTGCCTATCTGTATTTCCATATCAAGTTGTATAGCAATGTTTTATAACAATTAACCGACCCAATCACAATTGACGGTGAAACTCTGAAAGAGGTGGAAAGTTCCACGTACTTGATCAGCATTATAAATGAACAAGGATGATCTAATACAGGTGAAGATTTGCAAATCAACAATAGCATTCTTATAGTTGAAGAAGATATGGAACTCGAAACAACTGTCAACCAATATCAAAGTCACAATTTTCAATACGAACGTCAAAACAGTTCTACTATACGGAGCTGAAATTTAGAGAACTACCACAACCATCATTAAAAAGTTATAAGTATTTATAAACAATTGTCTACTTAAGATACTGAATGTCCATTGATCGGACACCATTAGCAACAGCCTTCTGTGGGAGAGGGGACAAACTACCTTCCAGGTGAATAGGAAATTAGGAAAAGACGTTGGAAGTACATAGGGCATACATTGTGGAAATTATTAAACTGCATCACGAAGCAAGCGCTAACTTCCAATCCTGAAAGAAAACAGAAAATAGGAAAACCAAAGAGCACACTGATTTGGTAATCGGAAGCAGATATTGGATAGGATGAATAACAGTTGTAAACAACTTGTAAAGATTGTCCAGGACAGAGTTGGATGTAGAAAAGCTAACAGACGGCCTATACTCCTTCTCCATGAGGAATAACTTGAGTAAGTAAATAGAAACACCAACAAAAACAACACCAAGGGCTAAGAGCTCGTTTTATTCATATGGAATTCTAATTTTACTGTTATTCATTAATATACTATGATTACTATTGATCTATTCAACTTGATTGTCTTTCATTTTAATCTTATATTGAGTTGTTTAGATTGATTTAAGATAATTGATTGATTGACTGTCAGATTTGGTTGATAGGTGAATTTGACTATGATGATGTATTCTAGATTAGTACAATTATGTATCATATTCTACTATGAATATTCACCGATATGAGTAGTATTGAATTGTATATAATAGAAGATTGTGTTATGAATGTAATAGAAACTTGTAGTTGTCTTGTTTGTTTGTTTATTTTTCTCACTGATAGGTCATGTTATTTATGTCATGAACTACTGCTGTGATTTTAATACATTATTAATGATGTGCCAATGTATAATACAAGTTGAGGAAGAAGTATGTTAAGTGTTGATTGATGATTGTTTGTGTGAATCTTCTCATGGATGCTTAAGACTGTTGCTGATCAGTCCTCTTGTTGGCATATACACATACTAAACGGATTGTCAGAGATGGATGATGACTGGTAATGGATTACAGTTTGACGCGTGTTTTATCCTATACTTGTCAATTGGATATATCTACATCATAGAGTTGATGTTCATTACGGGACTCGAACCCGGTATAGTTCGCTTCAAATGCCATAGAGTTATTCATTTAGCTACTGAGTTCTGATAGTCACTATCAGGATGAAACGCGTGTCCTGAATAATTCCAATGTTAGCCACCATCGCTTAAAATGTTTATTTTTTTAATGCTTTTTCCTCTATACGAACTCATTTTTCCATAAAAATATTACTTACTTACTTACTTACGCCTGTTACTTCCAATCGAGCATAGGCCGCCGACCAGCATTCTCCAACACACTTTGTCCTCCACCTTCTTTTCTAGTTCCATCCAGTTCTTGTTCATTTCTCATGTCTATCTCCATTTCCCGGCGTAACGTGTTCTTTGGTCTTCTTCTTCTCCTTTGACCTTAAGGATTCCATGTGAGGATTTGTCGTGCGACGCAGTTGGGTGCTTTCTTTAATGTGTGTCCTATCCACTTCCAGCACTTCTTTCTGATTTCTTCCTCCGCTGGGATCTGGTTTGTTCTCTCCCACAGTACGTTGTTGCTAATAGTGTCTGGCCAACGGATCTGAAGTATTTTGCATAGACAACTGTTAATAAACACCTGTATTTTCTGGATGATGGCTTTCGTAGTTGTCCAAGTTTCCGCCCCATACAATAGAACTGTTTTGACATTTGTATTGAAATTACTGAATTTGGTGTTGGTTGACAGACAGTTGTTTTGGATTCCAGATGTTCTTCAGTTGTAGATGCGTTGCTCTTACTTTGCTGATCTGCGCCTTCACATCTACATCAGATTCACCGTGTTCATCTATGATGCTGCCCAAATATGTAAAGGTTTTTACATCTTCCAAATCTTTTCCGTCAATTGTGATTAGATTGTTGCATGCTGTGTTGTATCGGAGAGTCCTGCTTTTCCCTTTGTGTATATTGAGACCTACCGCTGCTGAGGCTACTGTCACACTGTTCGTCTTCTCCTCCTTAAAAATATAAGCGTCAGTATTGACTGCTTATGTGTTCTTACTAACTTAGTGGAACTTTTCTAGATACATACATTCCAGTATTCATTTTGAAATAATCAAATGTAGTGAACACATTCAAGTATATAGTGGTTTCATAGAAATTAACGGTAATGAAAATTTTTAAAAAATTCTTAAAAGCTAATTATAATGATAATGAATGATGACAATGTAAAATTTCAGCTCAGAGAACAAAAAACAAGCCATAGAAACACATTTACCTAAGCGATGAATCTTGATTATTTGAAACCTCAGAATTATTATATTGTAATTATGGATCATATCATTGATTATCATGATGCCTTGGATGATGATTATGCATTGGATGATGATGATCCCTTGGACGATGATGATGATGCATTGGATGATGATGATGCCTTGGATGATGATGATGCCTTGGATGATGATGATGCCTTGGATGATGATGATGCCTTGGATGATGATGATGCCTTGGATGATGATGATGCCTTGGATGATGATGATGATGCATTGGATGATGATGATGCCTTGGATGATGATGATGCCTTGGATGATGATGTTTTTGATGATGATTTAAATTAACGTTCTACTTTTATTCATTATGATTTCTAACTTCTACATACACATTAAGCATGTAGACTTAAAATATTCTTGTCAAATTTGTCATTTCAGTTTTAGGCCTACATGTTAGATAGTTTCATATGAATGAAGGTTTTTTAGTATGCATCTTGTTCATATCATTAAAAAATACATGAACAAATATTCATGCACAGTAGTCTTTTACATTGGAATTGCTGTTTTCAATCTGAATATCACATACACTATCGAATATGAATAGGCATTCAAACATTGCATTCTTGTTGTTTGTTTAAATTCTCTGTGATTCTTTTATACTTGATTATCCGCTGATTTCGAATTTCATATACAACATGTTCGTTTTTGTGTTTATCTAATTCTGTCTGCTGCAAATTGTATTGTTTCGGGAATTCCTAGTGAGTACAATCTTTCGAATACTACTGATCATTATACTCTCTCTCTCTCTTACACACACACACACACAAACACTTACATACTTAAAGCTGACTTACGATTGTGTTTTCATCATGAATCGTATTCTGTCGATGTTTCTTATGCTGAGATAAATATATTTCGTGTGCAAAGGTCATTTCACTAGAACAGAGTTGGATAGCGAGTGCTGATGGGCAGCTTATACTCCTTTACGAGGAGTATTAAGCGTAAGTAAAGTAAGTAAAGGTAGTTTAAGTTGTCGCTTCAATTGAATACATATACATATTTTAGTATTAAGAAACTATCACCTTAAAACTCAGTAGATCAACAAACACGAAGCTACCTTACAAAGAGCACAATGAAAGACAGAAGCAATTAATATGGGTCAATAGTTGTAACATATAAAGTGTTAATCAAAAGATCATAGTACGATTATTTGAAATTTACTGTAAATGATTTAGTTATATGTCCAATATCTAGGTGTTGTACTATTAGCTACTTTAATTTTTCCAACAAACTTCATTATTTGGATTTGTAAAACAAATTACAATTGATATATACTGTATTCTTATGTGTCCTATTGTGGTGTGTGCTACTTATATTGACATTAGTATGTGATGTTAGTTGTGAACAGAAGGTCTGGCAGCATAGAGACAAGAGGATCGAACAGTAAAGAATGGAAACAGGATGCAATTTGTATGGAAATGTAAGAACAATGAAATCTGAGTCATTATGAGACAAGTGATGGACATTTTTCGAATTAAGCATTTACTTTATGATTGTTAGATTTTATTATCAGAAGAGGTTTGTGGAGATTTTAGAAATTTCACAGATTGAAATCATAAGTCAATTGAAGCTAGACCACCATGAAAAACCTGGATTCGAATCTCACGGGGTGCGGGATCGTGGATGCGCACTGCTACTGAGGAGTCTCATACTAGGACGAAACGGCCGTCTAGTGCTTCCAGATTTTCCATGGTGGTCTAGCTTCAATTGACTCATGATTTCAATCTGTGAAATTTCTAAAATCTTCACAAACCCCTTCTGATAATAGTCATCTGCTCACTAGTGACTGACTTCAGGAAAAACTCCCGAAGTTCTAGTGAGAAGCCGTTACCAGTGGAGTTGTGAGATAACAACTCACTGAAGACAATGGTGTACGGTGGCGCAACTTCGTGGATTGGTTGAAGTTAGACATTAACACCGTTGGATGCCGGCTCAGTGGTCTAATGGTTAAGTGCTCGCGCGCGAAGCCAGTAGGTCCTGGGTTCGAGCCCCGCGTGGTGCGGGATCGTGGATGCGCACTGCTGAGGAGTCCCATACTAGGACGAAACGGCCGTCCAGTGCTCCCAGGTTTTCAATGGTGGTCTAGCTTCAACTGACTCATGATTTCAATCTGTGAAATTTCTAAAATCTCCACAAAACCCATTCTGATAATAATAATCAACTGCTCACTAGTGACTGACTTCAGGAAAAACTCCCGAAGTTCTAGTGAGAAGCCGTTACCCGTGGATTTCAACGAGGTCGTTTGTGAGATATCAGCTCACTGAAGACAATGGTATATGTTAGATTTTATTAACAAGTCCTGTAATGTTGTGTTAAATACATTCAATTACCCCCATCCATGTTCTGTTCACTACAATACTATCTGATTTTAACTAAGCTTTAACTATAATCAACTATCTGTCTATACAGAAATATGAATTTTGTTTTGTTTTAGTCAATTGCTTAAATATTTAAGAGGACTAGTCTTTACTTAATATAATTAACCTTCATACTGATCCGACGGTGACCATATCACGTTAAAAGCACCGGTTCTTGTCCATACTGATCTGGGGGGTAAAGATCGACCGATATCTTACTGTGTTACTCTGGAGATAGTAGAAGTTTGTTTGATGAACTTATGTGAAACTTTGATAAGTTATCAGAAGCAGTGTATCGTATAGTTAAAAGTGAAATGTATAGATGAAGAAAGAATTTTCCTTTAGGTACTTTACTAGATTATCTCAAGGAAGGTTTATCAATTGTGTTGAGAAACAGAGAGAATAGTTGTAGAATATAGGTTAATCAGTGCACAGGGGCCGACATTAAACTTCTCTGTGGTATAAACGTGAATGGATACATCGTCAATAGACAAATTCCAAACAAAAGTGATTTGAATACTTGATATTCATTCATTTTTCAAAGTCACTGGGTTATGATCTATGGTTAATCTCATCTATACCTTTGTGTATACTATAAAGTGTGTCCACTTCTGTCTATGCATGCAACGTATACTGTAGACCGGAAATATCTATGCCTGTGCGTGTACTATGTAATGTATATGCATCATATTAGGTCAAATATTTTCATTTTATGAACTTTGTCGTAAAATCCTCAACTTTTATTAATATAGCCCACGAACTCAAGCATTTTGTTTTATGTAACGGCTAATGATACTCTCCGATTGTCCAAACCTTTACAAATAATCCTGTATTCAAACTTGAAATCCTTTGAATCAAGATTGAATACTTTAGTCATCATCATTTCACTGAACTACCATTGGGTATAAATATGCGAATAAATTTTGAATACACATATTTCGTATGCTCTTTGATCCAAACAGACAATTAGATAAATGAGCTAGAGAAAACGAAGCGTAGCTGAAAAGTTAAATGAGCCAACTTAATTCCATAAAGTGTGATTCAATACTTATAGTCAGACTTAAATAAGCTACAGATGGATAGATTTATATATTTATTTTAACACATAGATATTGGTACAAGGACGCATCAAATACATATGCGCCACACAAATCTCATTTGATATATGTGTGAGCTGTGATACTGCTCGGATGCCCAAACCGAAACAGGTGGTTTTCTTTAGGGGCCACACCCATAGCCTTCGACCTGAAGGTCTGATCCACAAGGCAGTGGAGCATCGTAAGGAGATACAGTTCCATGGTAGGCGGTGACCAACGATTGGTTCATACACCATTTGTTCCTTCACGATACTGGAGCTCATATGCCGGACATTCGCTTTTCGTCCTCTCATTTTTGTAAACACCCCGGTCCGAATATACGCGTGGCCATGTGAGAGCATTTGGAGGGAGAAAGAACACAAAAAATATTACAGAAGTAAGAATAACCATGTTGGTTTAACATGGCACCAGATACTACAGAATATAATTGTATGTAATAGTATATTCTGATATATATTTAACAGAAAACAGTGATTCCCCCCCCCCTATAGTTTGTGATATGATTAACACAATAGAAATTTTGAACACTTTTTCTACTAAAGTATCCGTCGCTTATCAGTTTGAATCAAGTCGTCATTGTTGAACATATTAATTACTTACGAATAGATTTCGTAACGTGTATTGTCCAATTTCGATATTGATATGCAATCGTTCTCTATATGAACAAAATCGCTTAGAGACTGAGAAAACAAAAGGAAGATTATTCAGTAAACAAAATCAGGAATATATATATAAGAAGGGGGCTTTGTGGATATTATAGTAGTTTTAATAGTTGAGATCATGAGTCAATTGAAGCTAGACTACCATGATGAACCTGGAATCACTTGAACGACCGTTTCATCCTACTGTGGGACTCCTCGACAGTGTGCATCCACGATCCCACCTTGAGAGATTTGAACTCAGGACCTATCGATCCTATCAGTGATATCTCATACCTTAGAAATAGAAGTCATTTCTTGGGCGATCATAAACAGTTATCATTCGACCGATTTCTAATTGGAGCAATGTATTAAAAAGAATAAAGGTTTCGTCTCATTGTACTTTTCAGTTATGCTATTTATAGTATATGATAATCAGATAGATATTTTGATCCAACAGAAACAGTTTAAACTCTAATAAGATACATTCTACAAGCGTACTCGTATATTATAGTCACTTGTTAAGTATAATCAGAAGTATATTGAGAAAGGTGTATCTTTAAAGAAGATCGAAGTATTAGTTCAAGAGATACATATCTAAATAGAAACTAGTCAAATATTTAGATATTTATATCCAAAGTGAAAGACTTCACAAACACTTATGAATGGGAACAAGCTACAGGTAAAAATACTTTACCGGTTGTGTTCTTCTTGTTTCTTAATACAACAAGTCATAGTCAGAGAGGACAGAGTGTAATATGGTTGAGAAAAAGCTATTTCCTTAGCATTCACCTAAAATAACAGAGTTGACGGAGGCATTATTTTTATGATGAACATTGAAGCATCTATACATTATTGATCGTTTTAAATATCAAAAAATGGATAAGTCCCATCCAAAGTTACTTCACACTACGTCTAACACTTCAAATGCATGCACAGATACACACATATGAAATCTACTTTTAGATAACAGTTCTCAGATTTTGGTGCAAAATTCATTTATTCATTCGACTAAATAGAGCTTTGGCAATTCAGTTGATCTCAGTTCATAATGAAAACCATATTTATAAACTATAAATCATAATCCTAATTCCTCACACAGGTTCATAACCCTTATTTCATCCTGGTTATTAGGTGGACACCCTCAAGGTCACTTTAACGTCGCTCAAAGGTCATCCATAAATTATAGTCTCATC